GATAGAGAGAGAGATGATGATAGATAGATAGATAGATAGATAGATAGATAGATAGATAGATAGCGAGAGAGAGAGATATGATAGATAGAGAGATAGAGAGATGACAGAGAGAGAGAGAGAGAGAGAGAGAGAAAGAGATAGATAGATAGATAGATAGATAGATAGATAGATAGATAGATAGATAGAAAGAGATAGATAGATAGATAGAGATAGATAGAGATAGATAGAGATAGATAGAGAGATAGAGAGATAGAGAGATAGAGAGATAGATAGAGATAGAGATAGAGATAGAGATGATAGAGATAGAGATAGAGATAGAGATAGATAGATAGATAGATAGATAGATAGATAGATAGATAGATAGAGAGAGTTACCTAGATTTAATTTACCAAGAAGGAAAAAGTTCAGAATGGAAGTTATCCATTCTGGTGGTTATAAATTCTCCATCTCTGGAGATTTTTAAGAAGAGACTGAACTTTGCAAATACAGCCCTTCTCCCTACTTCTCAAAAGAAGGAAGTTAACTTACTTACTTGCAATAAGGAACTTTATCTTTACAACTGCAGGCAATCCCCTTAGGGCAAAAATCGACTGTATCACCTGCACAGTTATCAAAGTCTGCAACATGGGTGCAATCAGCTGGAAAACAAGGCAGAGTTCAGTTCAACCACTGGAGTCCCATTAGTCACCACCAGACTTCCAAGAGCAAATCTTCAAGTGCAGATCCCTCACGGGGTTCATGCATTGTGTTAACCATAATATAGTTTAGTTGTTTTTTTGATGTGGTACAGTCTTGTCTGCTCAGCTATTGTCCTTCATAAGCCAGAGTGATGGCTTAACAGAGGATAAAAACAGAGCAAAGGATGGGTCATTTAACAGCATAGCAAGCCATGCTTAATGATTAGGAGCTTTGTTTCTATTGTAAGAAATGTTGGACTAGATCAGGACTAGATCTGGACTAGATCAGCAACCTTAAAATACTCAAACAGCTGCAAAGGTCCTAACCAGAAGCTCCCCATTCAATTCTAGAGCTGACCGGAACTCTGGTTCCCCCACCATAGAGTCTCCTCCTAGCGCAGCATCCTTTTTCCTCTGCTGTCCATTTCCCCTGCCATAGAGTCTCCTCCTAGCACAGCGTCCTTTTTCTTCTACTTGTCCTAACCAAAAGCTTTATCAATTGTGGAGCCAACCGGAAGTCCAGTTCCCCCACCATGGAGTCTCCTCCTAGCGTGGCACCATTTTTCCTCTGCCGACTGGAAGTGCAGTTCCCACATCATAGAGTCTCCTCCTAGTGCAGCGGCGTCCTTTTTCCTCTACCTGTCCTAACCGAAAGCCCTATCAATTGTGGAGCCGACTGGTGACAGGGAGCTGCAGCAGAGGGATGAAAGAGCCACATGCAGCTCCAGAGCCGCAGGCTGCCGACCCCTGGACTAGATAGACTTTTTTACATGTCAGAACACCCAAATAAGACTTACTTAACAAGATTCAGTTAAAACAAACTAAGGCTTACTGCAATATGTGAACCTGGTCCCTTTCTATTATATGGGAAAAACAAAACAAACAATGTTCTTATTTCCTTTTTTCTAGTTTATTTCCCCTTTTCCCAGATTACCAGCAAGTTACTTTTTCCTGTCTGGAAAAGAAAGGGTTAGATTTTGCTTTGCGTGAATAATAGCTGACCATAAGACTTTATAAGGGCATTCATTTAATTTTAAATTCCTCTATAAAAGTAATAATAATTCACTTCTATAACTATCCCAAAGGTGTTTTTTTCAAGAGGCAACTGGACTTTCTGGTTTTTCTTTGAAGATGTTTTCCTTCTCATCCAAGAAGCTTCTTCAGAGGACAGCCATGATCTGGGTGACTGAGAATTTCCATAGATGCTTCTATAACTATGTTTCTGTCCTAGATTTAGTGGTGGGATTCAGCCAGTTCGCACCACTTTGGGAGAACCGGTTGTTAATTTACTGAGCAGTTTAATGAACTGGTTGTTGGAAGAAATCATTAAGGCAGAGAACCGGTTGTTAAATTATTGGAATCCCACCACTGCCTAGATTGCCAGCAGATAAGAACAATCTCTTTCTGGAAATATCTAAACTCAGCATTCTAAAAATTCTAATTATCTTCAGCTATATTCCCATGATTATAGGGCTATAACATGTTTTTGAGCCCTCTCAGCCCAAAGACAGAAGCTGGTTCCCACAGAGGAAAAATTCAACTTAAAATGCATTTATTTTTCTTGAGTCAGTCAAGATATTTCTATTCCGTTTCTCAGCAATAGTTGGAGTCAAGTAGATGATCCCGGAGAATGTATAATCCTGATTGTAATATGGTTCCCCATATCTGTGTGAGAACTAAGTATGATAGAGGATAATCTGAATCTTGAGTGACACAATCTTTCATCTTTGTCTTCTTTCACACTACATGCTGGCTATTAAATTAACCCCCTTTTAGGTTCCCACAATCACCATTATTGGACTAGGTTTGCACAATAGGCTAAGCTTCAAAGGAACTAACCAGGTTTAGCATGTTAAGTCTTTAACTGCATTAGGTAAATTATATTGTGCAGGCATATCCCCTGAGGTCTGTGTTCTTTAGTTTCCAACAGATGCATAAAAAATTTGCAGATTTTAGAAAAGAGAATACATTTTTTTTAGAATGTGCAGAAATGAATAAATTAACATTTGAAATTAAAGAAAAGGAAGACATTGAATATTTTGAGGCATGGGATCTGTTTTATCGATGGTTAAGCAAGAGAAACAGGAGTTAGAACTTCGAAAAATACAAGAGAAAGATTAATTTGAATATTAGGGTTGATCACTGTAACTTATTAATTTTAATTAATTTTGATTAGTACTAATAATTAATATGCATCAATATTATGAGGGAAAAGCACTATTATAAGATTGTTATTAGAGAATACTATTATTATTACTATGATGAATATTACTCAAAAGAATTGTAACCAGTTTATATGGATTTTGAACATGTTGCTCTTTCTATTTCTATTAATAAAAAATAAATATATATATATAAAAAAGATTGCGTATTTTAATACTTGTCCTTACTACATCCAACTTTTTTAAAAAGCCAAGTTCCAAAGGATTCCCTTTGATTCTAACATCTGGAGTATCTAGTTCACCAGAAGTCGTTGAAAGAAGATCCCAACAGTTTGCTTACGATTTGCAGCTTGTGCGGTTAGGCAAGTGATGGTTAACAGCAGAAGTAGGACCAGGTGAAGACCGGAGGCAAACATCATAGCATTCCTTCGAAAAGAAAGTTTTGATCCTTTTTCAGCTTTCTGAAGTTTTCATTCCAATCTGAATAATTTTGATTTACATTAGACCAAAGGTCATGGATTTTGAACTCGCTTTACACATCATTTCTGGTTTTTAATTAACTTTGCTAAAGATAAGGTCTTCTTGGATTGGTTCTCAGACCAATATTCATGTAAATAAATGGTTAGAAATGGGATCATAGCATTTCCTAAATAAATTACATATAGGTGATGAAAAGCAGATTACTAGAGGGCCTTGTTAAGTGGCAATAACCTTATTAATGATATATACATATTAAAGATATATTAAAGATAGAAATTGCTGGATTCCCTTGGCTTCATTTTTTTCTCCTTTTCGGTGACCCATCCTCAACCAGCAGGAAACATTCCTCTACCAGGTAGTCCTTGAGTTATGACCACAATTGAGCCCAAAATTTCTGCTGCTAAGTGAGACATTGGCGAGTTATGCCGCATTTACAACCTTTCTTGCCATAGTGGTGAAGGGAATGATTGCAGTTGTTAAGTTAGTAATCCGGTTGTTAAGTGAATCTGGCTTCCCCGTGGCCTTTGCTGGTCAGAAGGTCTCAAAAGTATATCAAATGACCCTGAGACGCTGCAACCGTCGTAAATATGAATCTTTAGCCATTAGCGGCTGAATTTTCCATCACGTAACCTTGGGGAATGCCGCAACTATCGTGAAGTGTGAAAAACTGTGATAAGTCAGTTTTTTCAGTGCTGCTGTAACTTTAAATGAATGGTTGTAATAGGAATATCGGTATGGATCCTTAATGTGGGGTGGAGGTAGGAACACAGCAGGTTTTGACCGATGGTTAGAACAGCAAGTTTAGCTATCTGTCAAATCCCACTCTGAATTTTGCACAGGTGTTTTGCACAGCTGTATTCCAAGGGAGCCTGAAAATAAGCCACTGTCGGCTGAGAATTTAGACGGGTTTAATGCTTTTTATGGAATGCTTTTTATGAAATTCTTTTCCTTTTTGTGCTTTGAAAAGTGACCCACAAGGATACCTGTTCATTCACCATGCAAGGATCCCAAATAGGATGGCTTATCACATTTTGATAGGACAAGATGGCTAGAAATACAATTGAACAGGATGAGTCAAGTTTAATGAAAAGAAGGACTAGGGGTGACATGATAGCAGTGTTTCAATATTTTTTAAATAAATTTTATTAATTTTCTATTTATTACATTTCTTAGTGCTTAATAAACATTGTGTTGTCTGGGTATTTAATTTGCTTAATTATACAGTTTCCATTCTTACTCTCCACCCTTTTTTTCCCCAACCACTGGTAAAATAAGTTTCATGTTTGATAATATTCTCTGTCTTCTTTTTGTCTGATTTTCAATGTAAGTCTATCCATTTCTGCACAATCTAATATATGTTCCAATATCTAAAAGGTTGCCACAAAGCAGAGGGAGTCAATCTATTCTCAAAAGCACCTGAAGACAGAATAAGAAGCAATAGGTGGATACTAATCAAGGCAAGAAGCAACTTTGAACTAAGGAGAAATTTCCTGACAGTTAGAACAATTGATCACTGGAACAGCTTGCCTTCAGAAGTTGTAAATACTCCAACACTGGAAATTTTTAAGAAGAGATTGGACAACATTTGTCTGAAATGCTATAGGATTTCCTGCCTAAGCAGGGGGTTTGACTAGAAGACCTCCAAGGTCCCATCCAACTCTGTTATTCTGTTAAATTAAGTCCCGAATGGCCCCCTCTATACAGAAGATAAAATCCCAAACTGAAAATATAAACTATCCCACGAGGCTGAAGGATTTAACAAATGTGGCATTCACACAGACCAAACATTTTTAAAACCAAAGGAAAAAAAATTCCCTTTATTGTTTCTCTTGACCAAAGTTCTTGAGGAAATGAATTCATTGTAGACTGGATGCAACTATTTAGCAATTTAGATAAGGATCAATTAAAGCACATATGTCAGCAGGATTATTACTGATCCTAAGGCCTATTACTATCATTAGAAGGAACTCTTTTTTCTTATCTGTAAGTGCAATGCCCTGATTTATTTAAAAAAAAAGAATTATATGGTAGTGGCAAGGATTTTTAAAAAAATATCTATTAGACAAATTCAACAGAGCTTCAATCTCTCTGTGGCATTCAAGTCCTCTTTAAATGACAGGAGCCTCTCCGACATATGCAAGTCACAAAATGCTCCTGTTTCTGTCCTTTGGGCTTTTTTGACCCTTTCTGGGAATATTCCTGCCTGTTCAAAAGCTACGTCACCTGTTTATCTATACCTCATAATTGCAACACTGAGAAATGAAAACTGAAAGATACCCTGAATAAAAACAGCGGCTCAGTTGTGATGCTATATAATTTGATTTTCTTTTGGTACAAGGTCTAAAACATGGATGATTCATCCATGGAAATAGTATAGACTTATATACCGCTTTACAGCCCTCTCTAAGCAGTGTACAGAGTCAGCCTTTTGCCCCCAACAATCTGGGTCATTTGACCCACCTCGGAAGGATGGAAGGCTGAGTCAACCTTGAGCCTGGTGAGATTCGAACTGCCAAATTACAGTCAGCTGGCAGTCAGCAGAAGAAGCCTGCAGTGCTGCACTCTAACCACTGAGCCACCACAGCTCTAATGTTGGTGTGAAGTGAGTATGAAAACCATGTTTTATGACAGATTGGAACAATACACTGCTGCCAACTTGCCATGGCGCCCTTACCATGCGGCAATTTAACAATTCAATGTAATTCTTTAAAATAAATAAAAAACATTTTAGGTTTGCCATTCACATTTCATTCTGTCCCTTTTTTGCATCCTTTCTTGAATGATTCTATTCCACCATTTCTTTGATACTAGTGTAACTCTTGTCCTACGGCGAGTTGACTGTGGCGAGTTGGCTGTGGTGAATTGTCATAGACCCGTTTTGTGATACATGGGGGCTGAGAGACTCTTTGAATGGATTAAGACAATTTACAGATTTCTTTGGCCTTGCCATGCTAGTGTGAGACTTCAGCCTATTAAACATACCCAACCAATTGTGTCTTATACAATAAATTGGTTATACAAATTAAGGATAAAGGCAAGATTATTATTCCTGAGCTGTGGTGGCGAAGTGGTTAGAATACAGTATTACAGGCTACTTATGCTGACTGCCGGCTGCCTGCAATTTGGTAGTTCAAATCTCACCATCCTCAAAGTTAACTCAGTCTTCCATCTTTCCGAGGTCGATAAAATGAGGACCCAGATTATTGTGGGCAAGATCCTGACTCTGTAAACTGCTTAGAGAGGGCTGTAAAGCACTATGAAGCGGTATATAAGTATAAGTGCTATAGCTACTGCCCTCCGTTTCCTTCCTTCCTTCCTTCCTTCCTTCCTTCCTTGTGGTTAGAATGCAGTGTTGCAGGCTAATTCTACCCACTGCCACCAGTTCGAATGTCACCAGGCTCAAGGCTGACTCAGCCTTCCGTCCTTCTGAGGTGGATAAAATGAGAACCCAGATTATTGGGGACAATATGCTGACTTTGTAAACCACTTAGAGGGCTGTAAAAGCACTGTGAAGCGGTATATAAGTCTAAGTGCTATTGCTATTACAGTTTCTTTTTCCCCAACGTTGAATGAAGAAGTATTGTAGGTGGCCTTCCCAGGCATTTTTCTTACCACCCGCTTTTGGGGGACATCCATTGACTTGTGTGGTTGGTACTTGGAAGAAGAAGAGAGAGAGAAAAGCTAAGTCAAATCCTAAACCTTCATTTGAGATTTCCAACATTGAAAAGTAGACTCCAGAGTTGGCCTACCTTGAGATCTTCCCTCCTCACCTTTCACCTTGTCTTGAAAATTGTTTATAGGGGAGAAGATGAGCAGAGATGGGATATTGTGATGCTGGCCCCATTGTGACTGTTTGCATGATCAGAGCCTGTTGGGTGACCCCAGCACAAGCTGGGATGGAAGCGAGCCAGAAACAGAAGCCGCATCTCTAATCTCCATTCTTTGTAAACGGGAAGGGGAAAAGATAACGTGGGGAAAGGGCAGTGGCAAAGGAGGAAGATTGCTTCTACTTCTTCTTTGGTCTTCTTGTTTCTTTTTTCTGGCCTTGTCTGACCATCAACACTCTGAGATGGTGAATGAAGCAGCCCCAGCAGAGGCTCAGGAGCGCTCAAACCCCTCTGTGGGAAGCGAACGGGCATTCTGCTGCTTCAAACGGTCACTATGGAAGGCAACAGCAACCCCATGAATCGCTTCCGAGTGCGACCAGCCGAGCCGCAGGACTGTCCACATATCATGCGACTCATTAGAGTAAGAGAGGAGCTCAAAGCTAAACAAGAATTGAATGAGCAAGGAAGGGATTGATGTGGTTTGGTATTCACAACTGCAGATACAATCTAGATCAGAGGTGGTATTTAGCCGGTTCGGACCGGTTCTCAAGAACCGGTAGTGGAAATTTTGAGTAGTTCAGAGAACCGGTAAATACCCACTCTGACTGGCCCCGCCCCCATCTATTCTCTGCCTCCCATTGAGTCCCAGCTAATCGGCTGGGTCTTCTTTTGTTGCCCTGCACAGGAGAACGGAACTGGAAAGTAGGTTAGTGGGGTGGGGAGGGAATGAGGATTTTGCAGTAACCTTCCCCTGCCATGCCCACCAAGCCACACCCACAGAACCGGTAGTAAAACATTTTGAATCCCACCACTGGTCTAGATATGAAAAAGATGTTAAATTATATGGTTTTTATAAAGAATTGACAGAATTGGAAAAGATACAAACAGGACCAGAAGAAAGATTGATAAAAGCTATTTATTAGGTATCAAATTGGAAGAACAAATGAAGGAAACAATGATAGCATGGGCAAAATTTTTTGGTTATACAATAGAACTAGATAAATGGCAGAAATTTTGGGATAGAAACTTATAAACTAACAATGTCAACTGCATATAAGGAAAACCCATATAAGACTTTTCATAAATGGCATTTTGCGCCAGCAAGGTTGGCAAGGATGTTAAGATAAATCAGCTAAATGTTGGAAATGCCACCAGATAGCTGGATCGTATTATCATAAGTGCTCATGGGTAGTAGCCAAAAATATTGGACAAAAATACATACATAGCTGAAAAAGATGATACAACAGCATATTGATTTATTAAAATCTGAAATATTTTTGTGGGGGATTTTACCTGAAATCTATAGTAAAGAGAATGTATATTTGATTAGTCATGTATTAACTGCAGCTAGAATGGTTTTTGCACAAAACAGGAAAAATGAAGAGATTCCTATTGAAGAGAATGCAATCAGGAAAATATTAGAATGTGCAGAAATCAGAGGTGGTATTCAGCAGGTTCTGACCAGTTCTGGAGAACCGGTAGTGGAAATTTTGAGTAATTTGGAGAACCAGCAAATCCCTCCTCTGATTGGAGATTTTAAGTATCCTTCCCCTGCCACGGCCACCAAGCCATGCCCACAGAACCAGTAGTAAAAAAAATTGAATCCCACCACTGGCAGAAATGAATAGGTTAACCCTTGCAATTAAAGAGAAGGAACAAACTGAATGTTATATGATATGGGATTTATTTTATCAATGGTTAAAGAATAAATATGAAAGTTAGAAACAAAAGATTAATGAAAATCTGTTAGTAGAATTAAATAAGATGAGGATTGTTATAATAATCAGATATATTATGTATATCTGTATTAAGAGTAGAGAATTAATACTAATGCAATGAATATGGCTGTAACTTTGTTATTGCACAACATATTTATACCCAGATGATACAGTTTAATGGATGATGGATTGTTTGTGTTAAAAATAAAATAAAATTATATATATATATATATAATTATATATATATATATATTATATATATTATATATATATTATATATTATATATAAAGAATAAGAGAGGAGATGATGATGGGGTCGAATAGGGGTCGAATATCAACTGTTGAGAAGTCCGAACAAATAACATTTTCTTTATCCCGATGACATTCTGGTTTCTTCCCTTGGCAGGAACTGGCTGCTTATGAAAACATGCCCGAAGCAGTAAAAATAACAGAAACAGGTAAAAAAACAGCAGGTTTTTTTTTTTTGAGGGTTTTATACAACTAGTCCTTGACTTACGTTTTATAAAGTGACCGTTCAGAGTTGCAACAGCACTGAAAAAAGTGATGACCGCTTTTCACGCTTACGACCTTTGCAGGGGGTCATGTGATCCCCTTTTGTGACCAGCAAAGTCAGCAAAGAAGCCAGATTCACTTTAAAACTGAACGAAACTGCGGCGGTTCAGTGGCTAAGACGCTGAGCTTGTCGATCAGAAAGGTCAGTGGTTTGTTGGTTTGAATCCCTAGCGTCACATAATGGAGTGAGCTCCCGTTACTTGTCCCAGCTGAGAGTGACCCTCTCATTTGTGATTTTCATGTAGTATTTCTCACCGTTCATTCAATGGCTTGAACATTTTTCAGATTTACTTCAAGATGGTTTTGGACAACGTCCCTTCTTCCAGTGTTTAGTAGCAGAGGTATCATCGGAAAATGTAATGTTAGGTAAGTCTAAAAACTTGGCCTAAAATCATGAGTTAGGGGAGATGAGATCAGGGTTCTCTTTGAGTGGTCTCACAAGGGTTACTGGTATACAAGGTCAACTTTTCAAATAAAGTCCTTCAATTAAAAGATAATTTGAGGGGTCTAAGGAGGTATTGCCACCCGAGCACAGCATTTAATGAACTTGTTTTATTAAATTTTTATGCCACCTCCCCCACAACGCAAACTTCCTACCATTTTAATAGCTGCCTATAATTATTTGGTTTTGAGTCCCAAATATAAAACACCCTTTACATTTACATTTACATTTATTTTTCCATTAAAGAACCTCTGTTTGTTCAGCCCAGAAGTATAATGGCTGGCTGTATTTTACTTCTGCCTACCTCCTTCTGCTTAATTTTCTCGATGGCTTGTAGGATTAAAAGGCAGAGAAAAAAAATATTAATTGAACTTTCAGAAATGCTCATGATATGCAGAGGCTCCTTCTGACATTTTCCTGCTGCTTCTGAGTCCGAGGTGAACGGAGAGTCGAAGACAATTAGTGGTAAGGCAACAGCAATTGTTAAAGGAGCCGTGATTTCATATTCACAAATCCATTACTCCTACCGAGTGCATGAAAGTCTATGGCAATTTGCTGTGGCCAACTCGCCATGGCCAACTCACTGCAGGACAAGAGTTACAATAATATCAAAGAAATGGTGGAATAGAATCATTACAAAAAGGATGAAAAAGGAGGGAGAGAATGAAATCTGAATGGCAAAAATTAAAACATTTTTTTATTTATTTTAACTAATTAAATAGAATTGTTAAATTGTTCCACAGCAAGTTGGTCTTGGCGAGTTGGCCGTGGTGAATTCTCACCTTTTGTTAAGTCTAAATAGCACTTCAGACTTATGTACCACGTCACAGTGCTTTTACAGCCTTCCTTAAGTAGTTTTAGAATCAGCATATTTGCCCCTAACAATCTGGGTCCTCATTTTACCGACCTCGGAAGTATGGAAAGCCGAGTCAACCTTGGGCCGGTAGGGATCGAACTCCTGGCAGTGGGCAGAATTAGCCTGCAACACTGCATTAATTTTTAATTGTGTGCAAGGAAAGACACTGACAGGAGTGCTCAAAAAATTCTAGATGCTGCCAGGGTGTGATAAAAAGATCTGTTGTAGCTAGACAGATAGATTGACATTAATAATAAAAGATAAGGAAGAAACAGACTGTTTTTCAGTATGGGATATGTTCTATCAATAGTCAGACAAAAGGGGTGGAAATTAGAGGATGAAAGATTACTGATACGTATAAGTAAGAATTTTATTATATATAAGCAAACATGAGTATTATTATGATTACTATTTTGCATTACTAGTATTGTATTAATATCTTGTATAAATAGATTGATCCAGACAATACACTGTTTAATAAGCATTTATGTATTTTAAGAAAAAAATGTATATATAAAAAGATCTGTTGTGGCTTGACACCCCCTGCCCCACGCTGGCCTGTTTCTCAGTTCAGAATAATATGCAATGACTCGGTGAGGGGTATTACTGTAATTTATTGGTCCATTTTAACGGAAGATTGTCCTTACCAGAATGCAGTTAGGTAAGCGGTTACATTAAATCTTCATGCATCCCCTTTTTCTCCAAGAAGCACTTCCATCACAAGATCCGTCGTATTAAGCTGACAAAATTAAAAGAAACTGGATTTCTTTTTAAGTCGCTCGGCAGCCTTGCCCTTTTCATGTTGGGGATGTAATTCCTTAAAGCAATGCTTCTTTTTTTCCACCCCCACAGATGCAGGTATTGTAGCTTTTGCTATGTATTACTTTACATACGACCCTTGGATTGGCAAGCTGTTATACTTAGAAGACTTTTATGTTATGGAAGAATATAGAGGTAACTTTTAACAATTCTGTGTCCTTGTTGCCCATTTATAATAGCCAGAAAACAGAAGAACCACCAGGTGGAATCAGGACTGTCAGGGCTCCGACAAATCCACCCCCATTCAAATCATAAGTCTCTAGCCACATCTCTCACAGTAAAAAATATTGATTTATTAGGAGTTGACATGTCGGCGTTCCCCACATCATTGATTTCACCCTTGACCCTGGTCTTCCCCCCATCCCCTGGATGTATATTCTCCAATGAGACACATCCATAGCCAAGAGTCATCAATCATGCTCTCCAGCAATAATTTTGCGTGCCAGAAGTTTTGGTTGCCAAAGCGATTATCTAAAGCCTTTAAGGAATGCTTTCCCCCCTCCCTTTCTGCTGACAACTAAAAAGACCAAAGAATTATTTTTAGTTGACATTCAGCTCCCCTCACTTCTTGAAGGTGACCTATACAAAGCAAAAGAAAAGAAAACGAATTTATTGCAGGTCTAGAGCTTAGGGGTGCGCCCCCCCCCCCCGCAGGTTTGGTTTGGTTTTCTGCATGGAACCTCGTCACAAGGTGATCGGCTTGACCGTTCCTACTCTTTACCCAAGATCCCTCTGATAAGGGGTAGCCCTTCCACTTGATTAAATATTGGAGTTGTCTCCTGTGCCACCTCGAATCAAGGATTCGCTGCACCTCACAATGGGTTTGGCCCCCTGTGACCACGGGGTCTGGGGGTTCACGAGGTGGTGGCCTCAGGGTCTATCCCACCACAGGTTTTAAGAGGCTACTATGGAATACCGGGTGCAGCCCCATTCAAATCACAAGTCTCTAGCCGCATCTCTCAGAGTAAAAAAGATTGATTTATTAGGAGTTGACATGTCGGTGTTTCCCGGTTCCAGCCGATTCTGACACATCATCAGAGGACATTGTGACAGGCCTGGAGAATAGCCAGGTTTTGATACACATTCATGTCCCCACTGTGATGACCCAGGGTGGGATACAGAAGCAACACAGTCACAAAAACAGGTGAAGTCTCTTTAATTCCTTCAACTTGGCTTTAAAGCTCCAATTATCATTGACTGGAGACAAAAAACTCCCCCACAAACAGTTGCGAAAAGGAAGAACTTCCATTCAAACTCAAAATACACATATAAATACAAAAAACAACACGCCACACTGAAGCAATTACTGAGACAAGGCAGGATAAGGGCTTGAAGACGTCCACAGATATCAAAATACACACACTGGGAAGGACGCCAAACTCAGATAAGAACGGGCAGACTAGAAATATTTTCACGCTTTGTTTCCAGCACTGGCCCATGAGCAGTGTCCTTTTAAACAGCCCTCACAGCTGCAGCCCATGAAGGGGATCAAGGTCCTTTCCTTCCCCGTAGACCACGCCATTCACATTTCTCCCTTATCCTCTCCTCCCTGCGTGCCCTAGGATGGAGAGGGGATGGGCCTGGGTTTTCCTCTGACTGCCCAGATGGCCTATGCCCTTCCCCAGTTTCCTTCACAACCTCTGGAGCCACAATCCCACTCCCTGTTGACTGTTCCTCCTCTCCCTCAGAGTCAGATTCCAACTGGGGCATGACACCCACCCTGTGTTTATTAAATCCAGAATTCTCTCTTGGCTATAAAGGTTGAATATAGACAGTCCTCGACTTACAACAGTTCCTTTAGTGACTGCTCAAAGTTACAACAGCACTGAAAAAAAAAAGAATTATGATTGTTTTTCATTTGACTGTTGCAACTTCCCCACAATCACTTGGCCAAAATTCAGAAGATTGGCAGCCGATTCGTATTTATGATGGTGGCAGTGTCCTGGGGTCCTGGGATCCCCTTTCTGACCAGCAAAGGCAATGGGGAAGCCAGATTCACTTAACAACCTTGCTACTAAAAACTGCAGTAGTTCACTTAACAACTGTGGCGAGGAAGTTTGTGGAACGAGGCAAAGCTCACTTCACAAATGTCTCCCTGAGCAGCCAGAATGTGGGCCTCAATTGCGGTCATTAAGTCGAAGACTAGTGAATAGAAAACAGGACTCTTGGCACTCAGGCAAGCCCTGAAATTGAGACATGATCCTGGAAGTTAAACGTAGATTAACAGAGTTGGAAGGGACCTTGTGGGTCATCTAGGTCAACCCCCCGCCCAAGCGGGAGACCCTACACCATTTCTGACAGATGGCAGTCCAGTCTCTTCTTGAAAGCTTCCAGGGATGAAGCTCCCACAACTTCTGAAGGCAACTTCTGTTCCATGGGTTAGTTGTTCTCACTGTCAGAAAATTTCTCCTTATTTCCAGGTTGAATCTCTCCTTGTTCAGTTTCCATCCATTACTTCTTGTCTGGCCTTTGGGTGCTTTGGAAAATAGCTTGACTCCTTCCTCCTCTCTGTGGCAGCCCCTCAAATATTGGAAGACTGCTCTCCTGTCTCCCCTGGTCCTTCTCTTCACTAGACTAGCCATGCCCAGTTCCTGCAACCGTTCATCGTATGTTTTAGCCTCCAGTCCCATAATCTTTCCTCCCTCTTTGCTTTACTTATTTGTACCCTGCCTTTATTATTTTTACAAATAACTTAAAACAGATCTAACACACCCATTTCCTTGTTTTCCCCACAACCACAACCTTGTGAGGTGGGTTGGCCTAAAAATGAGTGACTGGCCCAGTCACCCAGCTGGCTTTCAGGGCCAAGGCGGGACTTGAACTCATAGCTTCCTGCTTTCTAACCTGTTTGCTTAATCACTAAACCAACCCTCTGCTTTGGGATTAATCACGTCTAAGTGACGTGGTGAAATTGCAGGAAATGTGGTTGCTCGTATCTCGTAACCAATTGGGGTGATGGGTTTCAAGCAGGTTGTACAATCCAAGTTCATCTAGATTTTGTGAATCCAAGAATGCGTTACTGTCCAATATAGCAGTGTTTCCCAACATCAGCAGCTTAAAGTCTACCCATCTTCAAGTTGCCAAGGTGAGAAACACGGCAATATAAATTTGCTGTGCAAGTGTTGTTGCTCCTGATGATGGATTGGTGCCATCCTGATAGATGCAGCTAAGCAATTACAATATTTTTCTTTCTTTCAAAAGATCTGAGACAAAAACCAGCTAAATCCCCACCACCATTTTTTGTAGGGATTGGTAGAATAAAGCCTTTGCTTATTGTACATATAATTCTATGGGTTAGAACAAAACAATGGAAAATTTCCAATTCAGACAACTGAGTTTCTTAACTGTGTTTTGGCAGGCTGGGGCATTGGAACGGAACTTTTAAAAAATTTAAGTCAGGCAAGTATCCAATTAAGACATTTAAGTTATATTTTAAATGTTATGCTCATCATTTGCATTGGATAACTCTATTGCTAAACAGCTGCAGAAAAGTTTAAAAAAAATAAAAATGAGCCAAAGCAACTTTCCCAAAATGGATTCCTTCCACACAAGTTGGTGGCTAAAATTTCCATCATTCAGTCAGTCCAAATGGCCATTTCTAGGATGGAACATTAAATTTAGAGGACCATCCGTAGTTCTTTAAAGCCACAAAAGGAGTCCACAGAACCAGGGCTGTCTGTAAGGGTCGAAAAAGTCAAGGTAATAGAGCCCACCATCTTAAATTTTCTGACCTCTGTCATAAGTTGAGTTCATTTGCAGCCGACGGCTAAAACTGCTTATGAATTCTTTTGATTGCAAAGAGGATTTCATGACTGAATGTTCCTTTACACTTTACAACTTGCAATATTGCTGTTCTTAAGAGAGAGAAAATATAGCTAAGTTGCAACGACCTACAGCTGCAGGCATGAAAATGCAACTATTTTTATACATGCAAACGTTCAGATCTTAACCAAAATGTTTAATGGCTCGATCTCCTTCTAGTCAACCTGCTTTGCCCAGTTAAGCTTTAGAAGCAATTATTTCTCCACCTTGGGCCACTTGCACTGCCTGGAGAATTCTGGGACTTGAAATCCATGCATCTTAAAGTTGCCAAGGTGGAGGAACATTGCATTAGAGCAGGGGCATCAAACTCCAGGCCTGGGGGCCGGATCAGGGCCACCTTGGAGACAATGAGGGAACGGCCCACGGTGCCTCTGCCAGTGAAAACGTGCTCCCAAGCTCCGTTTCCAGCTGCAACGGCCTCCTGCAACCCTCTGCCAGTGAAAATGGAGCTCGTGAGCTCATTTTCGCTGGCAGAAGGTTGCAGGAGACCTTCGCAGCCGGAAACGGAGCTCGGGAGCTCATTTTCGCTGGCAGAAGGTTGCAGGAGACCTTCGCAGCCGGAAACGGAGCTCGGGAGCTCATTTTCGCTGGCAGAGGGTTGCAGGAGGCCATTGCAGCTGGAAACGGAGCTTGGGAACCCATTTTCACTGGCAGAGCACTTGGGCCACTACAGGCGCCCCCAACATGAGTGACATTGAGCAGGCCACGCCCCCTCTGGCCACACCCACCCCACCCCACCCCCTTAGGTCAAACTCAACCCTCAATGAAATAGAGTTTGAAACCTCTGCTTTAGAGCACGCACCTCCAGCTTCGTATAAGCAATTCTGCATGTCGATATTATGACACGATAGTCCTCGACTTACAATCGTTCATTTGGTGGCCGTTCGAACTGACAAACAGCACTGAGAAAGTGTGACAATTTTCTACATTTACAAGGGGTTCCAACATCCCCACGGTCACGTGATCAAAATTCGAATGAGTGGCAACGGGCTCCTATTTATGACGGTTGCAGCATCTTGAGGGTCAGGTGACCCAAACTGGGGCACTTGGCAACTGGCCCGTAGTTACGATAGGATAGTTGCAGCAATCATTTTTTATTTTTTTTTGCAACTTTCTGACCAGCAAACTCAATGGGGAAGCTAGGTTCGCTTAACAACCGTGTTACTAACTTAACAACTGCAGTGATTCACTTAACAATGGTAGCAAGGAAGGTCATGAAACGGGGCCAAATGAAATGAACCAATGTCTCACTTAGCAACAGAAATTCTGGGCTCAATTGTGGTGACAAGTCGAGGACTACCTGGATACAATTCTGCATGCAGTGACTGCTGTGAAGGAAGTCACCAATTCTACCTTACTGTACCACCTTAAGCGGCCATTTTAAAATAAGCTGTACTGGTCAACCTTTGAGCTGTCGTGCAGGGGTTCTCCAACCTTGGCAACTTTTAAGACTTGTGGACTTCAACTCCCAGAGTTCCTCAGCCAGTTTTGCTTCGCTGGCTGAGGAATTCTGGGAGTTGAAGTCCACAAGTCTTAAAGTTGCCAAGGTTGGAGAACCCCTGCTGTAGTGTAGATATTCTGCTGAATTACATTGTGAACGTCTTCACGTTTGCTTCTCAAACGCAAATCCTCTGGGTTTACCCTTGAACAGATCGCCCTCGAGTCCAACTGTAGCTGCATGCACTTTCTCGTCGTGGTCTGGAATAAGCCGTCGATCGAGTACTATATGAGGCACGGGGCGGCCGATCTCTCCACCGAGGAGGGGTGGCATCTCTTCCGATTCGATAAAGAGCACCTCATCAGAATGGCTACCGGACAGTAAGAAGGGAGTCTCTCTTTCTCTCTCTCTCCAAGGTGGCGCATCATCGGCTCATCGGCCACAAGGAAACCTCTAGCTAAAATTGAGGCTCTCCAAAGCGGGCAAATACTAGCAACAAGAAATTAAAAAGAAGCTTGCCTGTTTTATGGCTGGCAGTACCTTGGTATGTGATTGGATTCTGGTATTTTTCCATGTGCAAGTTGTGTTGGTGTGAAACACGAAATCCCCCCCCCCTTTAAATATTTGGCTAATAAGTACGTACATTGGCACATTAGATGGGCTCTCTTGATTGTTGAGGGCTCCCTGACTAAAGTTAGCAGCTTGTAAGTGTTCTGACCTAGGCTTCCCAAGACCATGAAGCAGATTCCTCGTCCCGATAAAACCCCTTTTATTTAGGTGAAAGGGAATTCCCCTCCAGCAAAGTCCCAGCAAATAGTCTTTCATGAGATTTCACAACTACAGACCTTTATCAGGCTTGGAGAGTTGCCAGGCCGATATCTTCCAAACACCACGTTGTAGCAGTAATGACTTGGCAAGAAGTCAGGAACAGATATTCATCCTAATGAATTGAACTAATTGTCTCCTGCAAACACCACTCCCCTTTCGCTCCTCTTTATTCCCTATGGGGGGAGGAGCCATTCATCGTCCACCTGTAGCTTTACTCCCGAGTCGACTCTGGTTTCTTAGCTATTCCCTTCCCCTGGCAGCTCTGCACATGTGCACACTGGGAACAGGCTCCAGCTGTTCTTCTGCCCC